TTTTGTGTTCTATCTTGCTTAGGATCATCAAAAACGGTTAGTGCTCAAGTGCTCCACTTTCAAGTTTTAGTTATTTGAACTAAATTTCATACCTCTTCTTTGATAACAAGAATATATGCTAGTATATCATTTGCATGTCATTCATTCTGATATTCTCCATGCTGGCATTAGATTCCTTTTTCAATTTTCTTATTTTGTTAAACTTGGTAGTATATATATATATATATATATATATAATCTTGATTCAATGAACGTTTCAGCTAGCAATTAGCAAGAAGGGTGATAAAAACACACCTGATTTGTACGAAATAGACGGCATAGAGGCATTGGGTTCATGTCTGCAGATATATCCGTGTTTAGATTCTTCTCCTGACCTTTCTGAATGTACTATTCAATGGTATCGTTTGACGTCTGAAGGTGACAAAAAGGAGCTTATATCAGGTATACTTGCAAAAGATTAACCTGCACAACTAACCTCGTTTGAGATAAACAAAAAAAATAAAAAAAATAGACAACTAGAAAAGATTCGATTATGATTATGTCAGAATTACATTAGTTCTTGATATTCAAACTGAGAATTATCAGCACATATTTTTGCTCCGGTCAGAAATTAATCTCTAAAAACTTTTAAGATATATTTTACGGGCTCTACATTATTGTCAGGGGCCAACAAATCTGTGTATGCTCCAGAGCCGTTTGATGTTGGTCGAATACTGAGAGCTGATATTTTGACTGATGACCGTCGCTTGATAACCGTGTCCACTTCTGCTCCTATTGATCCAGGTCCACTAAACTTATATTTTTTACAAAAATAATATTACAAAAAATTATTATCATATTTTTTAGAACTACATTATTTTTTTTGTGTACAGCTGCTGGATTGGGTAACTATGTAGAGGCACTGGTGCGCAGGCACGACACTGAATTCACCGTGAGTTCTAATTATATACTTACTACTACTCTTTTACCCGTGCACTTGCATGAACGATGTCAGTTTAAGTATTAAATAACATTGAAATTCAATAATATAAATTAAAATTAAAACAAATTGTTGTTTATTATGAATCCCCGACTTGCTTGGGACTAAAGGCTATGTTGTTGTTGTTGTTTATTATGAAAATTTTAGTTATACATATCATTATATATTTTTCAAATGGTCTTCTCTACATAACAATATCTTTATGTTTTGTTATTGGTCATTTTAAAAACTATCAATTTCGGTTATGGTCTAAACTTCTAGTCACCAGTAAAATATATATTAAACTAACACATTATGGCGACATACAACTTAATAAACATTATTCACAACAAAAATGAAAAGTTCTACATTTATAAAATTAATTTTATCTATATTACTACTATTGCATATAACAATTTTAGCTTATTTTTTTAGTTTATCTTTTAGTTAATATTTTAGATGATTTTTC